TTGTTATGCATCAGAAAGCTGGACAGACTAAGCATGATAGAAGAAGAAGCCATACCTTTGAGATGTGGTGTTGGAGAAGAATATTGAGCAGAATAGTAAGAGAACAAAGAGGTTCATCCTGGAAAGGGTGAAACTAGGCTTCTCCTTTGAGGCAAGAATTTTGAAGCTCTATTTGACATACTTTGGACATGTTGCAAGGAAAGACTAATCCTTGGAGAGAGACATCATACTTGGAAAGGTGGAAGGTTAACACAAGAGTGGAAGACCCTGGATGAGATGCATTGAATCTGTGACTGAAGGAAAGAGTATCAGAGACACTGAAGCTGGCTCGAGATAGAGCTGGGTTCAGAGCTGTTGTACAAAGGCTCACTATAAGTAACAAGTGACTCACTGGCACCTAAAAACAAAAAACTGGAGACATCTTAGACACTGATAGTAGAACGCATACACTTACTGTTAAAACCATACGGTGAAATTTTATGTACGCCAAATCTTTTACTCAATCCCAAGTGATTGTAGCATTATAGTACAGAGTAGACTTGTACATCTTTAGGGAAGTAGACTGCCACATCTTTTTGGTTTTCCATGGAACAGCAGGTGGGTTTGAGCTGCTGACTTTTTAATTATCACATCAAAGCTAAGGCTAAAACTATTGTGCCAATTAATCTAAAAGGACCTGCAAGTATGTGGATAAATTTCTGCAACAATTTTGAACAAAAGGGTAGAAAGAATATACACTTCGTAAATCTGTATGGATAAAAGTCAAACTTCAAAAAAGCACACTAACCTATCAGAGCTTCAGAAATCAGGATACTGGCTATATTTTTTTTAAGTAGAAAAGGTGTATATTGCAGAATCAACATTACCTATTCCAGAAGGTTTTCTAATTTAAGAAATATTTTTGTAAAATAAAACATAATATTTCATACCTGCTGTCACTGATTACAACAAATTACAAGTTACTCCATTTTTTTTAAAAAGGTGATAGAGTTATACTTCGAAAGAACAAAACAAAAATCACAGTCGTGAATAAGATGTAGTTTATACAACAATTACGAGACCATAAAAAAGAAAAAAGGTTATATAAAGTTAAAATATTTACAGAGTTCAGAGTGAATTTATATATACATTGAAAGAGAAATAAGGAAAAAAGGGACAAATTTAGAAGTATTACATTTAAAATACTTCTTTTACAATCTATCATTAAATTCTTACATGATAGACTGTTTTTAATCTTGTGACTACTAATAATTGAATTTCCTAAAAATGTACTATGAAATAATCTTTAAGAAAATAGTTATTCAGTAAACATATGTTGACTAAATCTTGCAAACTGTTGTCCTTGTTGGATATCATGGCATCAAGAATGACTCGTAGCAACCCTGTGCATACTGGGTCTGAATCCTGCCCTATCCTGTGCCATACTCCTTGGTTCTGGTACACTCAAGCCTATTGCTATGGTAACTGTATCACTGCATCTTTTTTTTTAATTTTTTTATTATTAATTTCAATGAAAATTTATAGAGATTTTGGATTTCCATTCATTCACTGTTGCACATTTCTCCCTGCCCAACCTCCCCCCTGCCCCCACACCGAGTACACTCCCCTCTTGGAAAACTAAAAGAAAAATTCTTCATTGTTTTACAATCCCTCCTCCCAGGTCCACTCCACTGTGCAGCCTTTGCTCTGGACTCCCATCGTGACAAAAATACCTAATCACATATCTCTTTTAAACAGTTTTCTCCCTCAACTGTTTCAATGCACTATATATTAGTTATCCCATCTTTCTCAGTCTCCCCGCAACCCCAATGTCAGTCCTGTTTTACAACAGTGGAACCATGCAGTATTTGTCCTTTTGTGACTGAGATACTTCACTAAGCATAACGTCCTCCAGGGTCACCCATTTTGAATAATATTGCACGAGTTCCTTGTTTTTCAATGCAGCATAGTATTCCATTGCATGAATATACCACAGCTTCTCTATCCATTCATTTGTTGATGGGCACTTAAGTTGTTTCCAGCTCCTTGTTATTGTGAACAAAGCTGCAATAAAAATGGGTGTGCATATATCTGCTTGGGTGGCAGTATGGTTTCTTTGGGATATAATCCCAGCAGTGGAATTTCTGGGTCAAATGGTATCTCTATTTGTAACTTTTTGAGAAAGTGCCATACTGCCTTTAACAGTGGTTGCACCATATCACTGCATCTGTTGAAGGTCTTGTTCTCTCTCTTTCACGGATTCCCCACGTTGTCAAGTATCATGTCTTTTTTTTAACAGCCTGGTCCCTCCTAACAACATGCTTAAAATATGTGTGATTAAGCTTCTTCATCTTCATCTCCAAGAAACACCCTGGTTAGAACTTTCTTCTAGAAATATCTGTTTGTTTTTTTGGCAGGCAACTGGATATTTGGTACTCCAACATCAAAACTGAAAGTCATCAATTCTTCATCTGTTATCCTTGATTCACTGGTTAACGTTCAAGTGCACAGCAAATAATTGAAAGTTCAACCTTAGCCCCACATACTCAACTAGAAATCCAGAAAAGTGATGATTCTACAGTAAATGTCATGAGGGGCAGTTCAGATTAAGGTAAATGTTCTTTAATAGTTGACATTTATGATGTCTGCCTAAAGTATATGATTATAGCAAAGTCTGTGTTTCCTAGAGCATTTGTGGCTACACTAGCATATTCCATTACACTCATGAGCATTGAGGTTGAGCTAGTCACTTCCTTGTATTCAATGGAGACATTAAATTATCTAGTACATGTATGTACTAGGTCTTCCAATTCTAATTCTCAGTTTAGGACATTATAGGCTTCAAGATTACAAGTAAAGGGCAAATGATAATTAAAGTATCTTATAAAAGTATCTTAAAACACACACACACATACACACACAATCACTACAGCTAATGTCTTGAGGAAGGTTAGGATATTCACTTTTATCTTTCTGTTCAGTATGGCACTGATAATCCTAGCCAATGAAGGTATGCAAAGAATAAAAGGCATAAAGATTTAAAAAGAAAGAGAAAAATTTCTTTTTATAGGTAATATTGTTGTATTGTTGTTAGATGCCGTTGAGTCGTAGGCTACTCATAGCAATCCTATGAACAAAAGACTTGGACACCTATATAACTTTCGTCCTTTCTCCAAGTTCAGAGGGTTTCCGGGGGCAAACTATTATGGAAGTGGATGCCACTCCTGCTTCCAAGCTTGTTTTAATCGGGGAGCTCCACCAAACACTGTCCACCATGGGTAACGATTTTCGAATTTGACACGTCAGTGTCACAGTGTTCAGCTTCACAGCAATTGCGAGTTACCTCTGTACAGCAAGTGGATATATCAGGGTTATACAACCTAGAAGCATATTTCACTAAAAACAATCAAAAGCCGGCCTGAGGGCTGAGGATTAGAGTCACCCACCTTTGGCTTGGGAACATGACTTTCTGTACACTAGGCCAACTGATCTCTCTCTATGCTATTTTGTTGTTGTTAGGTGCTGTCGAGTCTTATTATGAACAAAATCATAAGAGCTTATTCAAATAGCTATCAAAACTGCATTCACTATGTTCCAAAACAGTATTAAAGTGAGTATGTTTTTAAAAAAATAAGATGAGAAAAAGAGTATAATTTAAAAAAATAGACATTTTGCTGAGAGAAATCTAAAAGACTTTTCTGGTTAAGGAGATATGCTATGTAGATAGGATATGTTGAAAAAATTCAATATTGCTATATAAATTTCCCCCCAGTCTATATATATTTTTTCAAGGAAAAGTAAATAATAACTCCAGAAATATCTTAATAGAAATTTGCACAATGATTCAGAAAGTGTATAAGCACATAAATATATTTGCATAAATAGCCAAAACCCAAAATTGCCAAAATAAATTTCAAAGATCAAAACTGGAGTTCTTACACAAAAAGTTTTAACAGTTACCACAAAAGTCTAGATCTACACAAATTGGCATGTTTTTCTAGGTGTTATCCAAACAGTTTTGCTTCATGGTGTGCCTGTTTACAACAGAACAAAATAAAATCCAATCTTGCACTGTCCTCACTGTCTTTGACATTTTAAACCCATTGTTGTCTCCACTGTTTCAATTCATATTTTTGAGGGTCTTCCTCCATTTCTCTGACCCTCTATTCTTAAAAGCATGCATGAAGCCCTTCTCTTGGGATTAGCCCCTCTTGATAACATGTCTAAAGTATACAAAGTAAAGACATAGTTTCATCATTGTTGCTTATAACTGACACTCTGGTTTTACTTCTTCCAAGATGTTGCTGTTGTCATGTGCCGTTGAGTTAGCTTCCTGCTACTCATAGTGACCCTATGTAAAATAGTGACTATGTAGTATAGCTCTGACGCCTGCCCTGTCTTATGCCAGTCTCAGTGAATCTTGACACACCTACCTTCATTGCCCTAGTTACTGTATCAATCCATCTCATCCCGGGTTTTCCTCTGCTGCGCTGTCCCTCCACCCTTCCATGCATGATGTCCTTCTCCAAGGATTGGTCTCTCCTGGCCACGTGCCCAAAGTATGTGAGACGGAGCTTCAAAATTCTAGCCTCCAAGGAGAAACTTGGTTTCACCCTCATTTGTATATTCTTCTGGAAGTAGATGGGATATTCAATAATCTTCAACACCATAATCCAAAGGCATGAATAGTTTCTCTTATACATTGTCAAACTCTCACGTGCATATTCAGTAAGTGAAAATATTATTCCTTGGATCAGGTACATTTTGATATTGAAAGTAACATTACTGCTTTTTAGCATTGTTAAGGAGATCTTTGACAGCAGATGTTTTTCAAAACAATATATCCTTTATTCTTTAATTGCTATTCCATGGGCATTGATTATTGGTCCAAATTAAATTCTTGACAAATGCAAATCTTTCTCCATTTATCATTATGCTGCTTACTGGTGCAGTTTTGCAAACTTTCGTTTTCTTTAAGATTTAATCTACTCTGAAATACAGTCTTAGAACTTCACCAATACCTCCTGCAAGTATACTTGAAGCAAGATGTAACATCTGTGTAACATAGGTTGTTGCTGCCAAGTCTTCTTGTATTCCTGGTGCCACATTCTTTTCCATATAGTCTAACTTCTCAAAATAATTTATTCGTTAGAGGAAGGGGGAGCTCTGGTGGCCTAGTGGCAAGACGCTGCACTGCAATCCCAGAGGTGCGCGGTTCAAATCCACCAGATGCTCTGCTGGAAAAGGAGGGGGCGATCTCCTCCTGTACCAGTCAGATCTGATTTGACGGTACACATAAAAATAATACAATAAAAAAAATAATTTATTCGACATTCAGATTAAATAGCTCTTGTACAGTCTTTAGGAAGTTGCCCTACAAATCCAGAAGTGAGGTCTTTCTGGCGGTGTGACTCCATCAAAGGCTCAGGAGGAGACAGAAGGGCATTTCCTTCAGTAAGATTTTCAAGCTCTAAAAACGGGCTGGGTTGTCAGCTCTAAGTTAATTCTGACTCAAAGGCAATGAGAAAAAAAACTGGACTCCACTATTCATCTTTTCTCATTTCTAATCCATGCAGTAGTTCTTTGTTCTCCTTTAACAACGACTTCTTGTAGCAAATTTTGCATGAGTACAATTTTGGTATTTCGTAATTACCATTCTTCCCATAATCATTGCAGGACATAATGTAGCAGGGAAAAGTTAGCAGTTTGAATTCCCCAGATACTGCTTGGAAGGAAGATGGGCAAGGTCCTCCCGTAAAGATTTACAACCTTGGAAACTCCTTCAAGGGTTGAAGGTCGCTATGAGTTATACTGACTTAAAGGCAATGTTTAGTTTTTTGTCTTGCTTTTGTTTCTTTTAATAAATAAGTAGCTCTCTCTCACTGCAACAGAATAGAACGTATATATAGCAGATCCTCCTCCAATGAGTTTCTAAGGCTGCATGGGATGAGATTCCCCACCTTTCCCCTGTGGAGTCCCTGGTAGAACTGAACTACCAAGGAGGTGTCTGGGTTAGCAATATAGCTCCCTTTGGACTATGCCACCAGGTGTCCCTAATAAATTAGTATGTTGGGTTTTTTTGCTGTTAAGCCTAAATTGGTATAGGAATAGGCAAAAAAATTAATGAAATGGAATGCTATTGTTATATACCATCAAGTCAGCTATGATTCATTGAAACCTTAGGAACCTTATCCTGAGTCAACCTCACCATCTCTGACACCCTTGATCCCCTTGCCACAGTCACCATGTCAATCTAGCTCATACAAGGTCTTCCTCTCTTGAACTGACTCTTCACTCTTCCCAACATGATCTCCTTCTCTGGGCCTTGCTGACAACACGTCCAAAGTACGTAAGATGGAGTTTTAAAATCTTTGCCTCCAGGGAGCATACTGGTTTCACCTTAACCAGGACAAAACTGTTTGTTTTCTTGGCAGTCCATAGTATGATCAACACTTTTTTTCCAGTCCTCAAAAGCATCTCAGGTACACCACAATTGAGAAGACTATGGTCTGGATCAGGCACATGTTACTTTCTAGACTGACACTGTTGCTATTTAATAGTTTGGAGAAGTCCATCTTGCCAAGTAGATTTTTTCCCAATGCAATTTACCTTTTGATTTCCTGTTGATTGTGGATCTGAGTAAGATGTAATCATTAACAATTTCAATCTTTTCTCCATCTAGAATGATGCTGCCTATTGGCGTTGATCTTTATTTTCTTGATATTGAGATGCAATCCATATTGAAAGCTTTAGTTCTCGATCTTCTGCATCAACTGCTTCAAGTCATGCTCAGTTTCAGCAAGGTTGTATCACTGGCATAACACAGCTTGTTGATGATTAAAAGCCAGTAGATGTTTGTAAAAGTGCAGATGTATCAATGGTAATAAGCACAATTAATATTAATTGTTATGAAATTTAGCAAATCACTGCTTACTGCAGAAATAAATGGTTACTGATTACAACTGGGTACTTGGTAGCTTTCTTAGGGCATTTTAATATTCTATTTTAGACAATAGTAATTAATGATGTTTTGATTTATATCTTTATGGGTTATTAGATACATTCATTTTCCTGATGACATTCAAAGAGTTAAGCCTTCAGATCGGATTACACTTTAACATAAATAAACATGCATTCACACAACTAGAACAATAAGCAGTATCATAATAAATGGAGAAAAGATTGAAGACCTTCATAATTTAATTTTACTCACGTTTATAACCAGCATCCATGGAAGTAGTAGTCAAGAAATCAAATTATATATTGCAATGGGAAAATAGGATTCCAAGGACACTTTTATGGTGCTAAAAAAGCAAGAATGCCACTTCAAAGATGAAGATGTGAGTCAATCAAGCCATGGTACTTTAAATTTCTACAAATTCATGTAGAAGCTGAACCATGGATAATGAAGACAAAAGAAGTATAACCCTCAAATTTTGGTGTTGGATAAGAATATTGAATATCACATGGACTTCCACAAGAACAAGTAAATCTATTGTGGAAGAAGTACATCCAGGGTTCTGTTTAGAAGCAAAGATAACAAAGACTTTATCTTGCATACTTTGAGTTCATTTTTGGGAAGTGCTACTCATTGATGAAAGACATTATACTTGACAAAGTAGAAAGACAGAAAGAAAGAGAAAGATTTGCAACTAAATGGACTGACACTGTTGCTACAGTAGAGTTCTAAGTCACAGCAGAGATTGTAATGATGACAGAGTATGAGAGGAAGTTTTGTTGTATTGTACATGGGATTGTTATGAGTCAGAGTCATATAGATGGCACTTAACAACATCAACATATATTTGCCAAAGTGATGTAATTTATAATTGGGCTTTTATATGTTGGGTAATCTCATTTTAAATATTTCTAAAAATCATCACATGGGATGTAGGGAATGTATGGAGACCTAGATGAAAAAGAAATAATAAAATGTTGATAATTGTTGAAACAATAAAATGACCAGATGCAGCTTTATTTTACACATTACTGTTGTTAAGTGTTAGAGTTGACTACAACTTATAATGACTCTATAAAAAATAGTTCGAAACCTTTCCCTGTCATACACTGTCCTTAGAGTCTCCAAAATGTTTAAGCCTCTTATTAAAGTCACATTTTGAGTAAAGATTATATTAAAAGTATTGGAAACTTTAAGATGCTTCAAACAATTACTCCTAGATTTCAATTAATCAAAAGTTACTTTTATAGAGTTTTCTTTTTCCCAGAACAATCTGATTATAGTTCATAATTTTGTTATTAAAGGAAAACAGGTGTTACAGGGCAATTAGGATTCCCCCCCTTTCCTTTAAACTAGTTTCTCATCTCCTTGGAAGGTAGGAGAGGGGCAAAAAGGGGTGGTGGTAGTAGGAGTACTAAAAATAAAGCAAAACCAATAAAGTAAGTCTATTTTTACCATTTCTTACATTTAAGAGTTTAAGGAGTTATGTCTACAATAATGTCTGGCTTATGTATATATGGAAATATATTACATATATATATTATATATATTCATGCAGAGTTTTTAATGAAGTTAAAGATAAGGATGTTGGCATATTCATATAATTGTGAACAACATTGCTATGAACATTGCTGTACAAATCCCCATTTGTGTCTCAGTTCTAATTTTCTGGGGATATATTCCTAAAAGTGGAATAGATGAGTCCTGTGGAATTTCTATGTTCAAATTTTTGAGAAAAAGTCAAACTGACTTTTCAGAGTGGCCTAAATGTCCAATCACAGCCAAATGGATTGAGAAATTGTGATACATTCACACAATGCAGCATGCAGCATGAAGGAACCTTTTGAGAAATGCTACATAACTTGGGAGAGAAGAGAGGGCATTTTGCTAAGAAAACTAACTCAAGTCACATAAGGGCAAATATTGCCTGTGATTATTATTGTAAAAATGGAAGGATAACTAATAAATCATGTATTGAGACCCAAAGGAAGAAGAAGTGGCAAAAGAGGGGTGAAGATGGACAGAGGGGAGATCACCAGGTTGCACAATTTGGTAAATGGATGAAGGGGATAAAGGATATGGGAAAGATCTGGAGGATAACTGTTCAACGGTGATTAGTTTTATAAAACAGTGCATGGAAATGGTTCTATGAGCACAGTGTAAATGAAGAAAAGTATAAAATACAATGTATGCAAACCAATATGAAAGAAAAAGTATTTTTTAATGATAAGATGATTTGCTTCCTAAAAAGAACTATAAGAGATAGATATCACATTAAAATCTAAACATACAGTGATAAACACAGAATCTAATTATGAATCATAAAAAAATAACACTAAATATTTTTAATCCACCAGATGCTCTGCTGGAGAAGGAGGGGCAATTCTCCTGTACCACTTAGATCTGATATGGTGGTACACGTATACACACACACACACACACACACACACACACCCAATTGCCTAAAATACAAAGAGGTATAATTTTCTATTTACATAAAAGCTGGAGAATTCAGTGATATAACAGTTCCCATAATACATTTCACAGTCACACTTGATTTTCAATAAAATGAAATGTTTCTTTTCATGCATTTCACACACCATTGCACTACTTGGGCATCTTTTAACAGCATATATGAGAAACAGATCACAACATGTCAGATTCTAACAGTGTGACAAAGGCTACTAATCAGATCCTACATTTATTCCAACCACCTTCGTATACATATCCTTGAACTACAGAAGCTGGAAACTCAAAACAATATTTGACATTACCAATTGAAGCAAGAGTTTTAATGTACGATTTTGGTTACTTCTGCATGATGATTTTGTCTAAGACATTGTTCTTTGGAATAAAACACTATAGGGGGCTTCAGGCATCCATTATGCAAGTATGAGTCACGGCAGAGGTGGTATGGTTTTGAACTTGGCAGCTGCGGGTCATGGGGAAGGAATTGTTTTCTTTATGGTAGTCCAGATACATTGTGGTTTTACAATGTGTTCAAAACCAAAGGTCAAAGCAGAATCTTCCAACATTTTATGGATTACTTCCATGGAGTAATAATATTTTTGTGCTTAAATAAATTAGAATGGTTCTATATTTTGTAACCAATATCCTTGACTGATATTCTAGACTTCACATCAAAAATTTTGTTATAGAA